TATATTTCGTAGTGATCAAAATATTATATTTTGTGGTGTACAAAATATTATATTTTGTGGTAAGAAAAATTATATCATTTTATAATTTATATTATAAACTTTTGAAGTATTATTACAAAAATTATATTTTTGAGAAAAATCAAGCTTTGGGAGATACACCCATGTGGGTGGCCCCATTTTTGTCTTGGCATCATTTCCCCTCCTTTCCCTTTTTTCTTCTTCATTTTCTCTTTTCTTTTGTTGGGCAGAGAGCTCAGCTCTCTCTTTTTCTTTCAAACGTCTCTCTCTCTCCCCCCCTCTTTCTTTATTTTCCATGGTTGCTCAAGCTTTGAGCTTAGAGTAGGAGTCTTTAGAGTGAGATTTTGCAAAAGTGTTGTAAATGAAATTCGGAGAGCTCATCGTGATCTTTGCAATGGTAGTCTTGGATTCATGATCGGGTAAGATTTGCCTTCCAGATCTGCTCATCTTCATTATTTGAGGTAGATACTTTCTTCATAGTTTTACATTAAAACTATGTTAGGGTTATTTTGAGAAAATACATCATTATAAGATGTATTGCATAAAATTGGCTTGATAGATTTTCTATTTATTTCTTTGAAATGGTGGGAACAGATCCCATAATATAGCTGGTCCGAGTAGTTTGATTAGGACTATGTGAGTTTTGATTTATTTGTTTGAAAATAATTGCGAGATTGTTATCCATGTTTACACCACATATTCCAACTCTCTAAAGTTACTAAAGTTCAACCAGAATTGGAGTTTAAAATAAAATTTGCCTAGAATATCATGATGAGCCATGATGTCCTTTCCATTATGGACCACTTCTGTTTTTGTCATTGTTGAAAAGTTTATTTTTAATGATCACCTGATTGGGTAGATTAGGTGGAAAGTAGTTGAATCATGGTACGGACCATTATACAATTGTCACGATTTGTTTAGGACAAAATTTAGATGGTCTGAGCTCTATAATCTTTCAGACATCAAAGTGATCATCAGTTCAGTTGATGTAAAGGAGGAAAAAAACACCATACATATGCATTTTTCGGTTCAAACCAAGCTTTGCAGGGGAGGACAGTGTCTGCTGGGCTCCCCTCACAACACGAGCAATTTTTGTACAGGAAAAGGACCTCCTTGCATGTTTAATGACAGTGCCTTGTGTTAAAAACTTTGGCAAACATGGACTTATCTTGGTGTTTGACTTGAAAGAACTTAGGAATTCATGAAGTGGTATTATACTATGTTTAAAGATTCCCTATTAATATATGTAGTGTTAATTTTGTAATTCCTCAGTGGGAATGGATGATGGAGATTAATGTGTGGAATGATTGTAGCATTGTTTTCACTATCGTGTCATTACTATTAAAATCAAAGATTGATGGTGCAAGTAGACATGTGGGAGAAGGTGTGACTTAGCCTGGTTTTGGGCTTATGTCTCTCCTATTTAAAGGGATCATTCATTTTTGTTTTGTTTTGTTTTGTTTGTTTGTTTTTTTTTTTTTTTTTTAATTTCAAAATACTGGGGAGCCATTTGCCAGTCCTAGTCTTGGTAGAATTGTGTAAAATATTGTTTAATCCGTTAAAATCACATTGATTTGCATCGTTTAATCCGCTAATCACAGATTAAATTTTGAATTTATAATTCGTTTTTGTAATTGTTCTATTTCGCTATAGTTAATATATATATATATATAATTTAAATCTCTACTGAAATATCAAAATAAAAATGAGAGAAATTTAAAATTGGAATTTTGTTACAAATTAGTAGTTATATATATGAAAAATTAATTTGTATTATATATGTGGGGAAGTATTTTGAGAATGACACTACGTGACCATGGTGCCTCTGAGATGTCGGCCGAGGTGCCATGTGGGCGGGTCATGTTTGCCGAGATGATTGCAACGTTGCCGATATTCGATGCGGTAATGCCGGAATCGGAGATACTTGGGTAAGGTACAAGAGTCCTAGATAAGAGGAGACTCTTAGTCTGAATAAGGATAAAGCTCGAGGAGTTTATTCCTATGTAACTCAGAGTTCGAGATGAGCATTGTGTTTGAGTCCTATGAAGTGAGACTTCTAAGGGACTAGGACACTGCTAGCTATAAAAGTAAGACACCATTGTGGGTCTAAGGTACGCTTTATTTTTTAGTGAATTCAGTACTTGTTTGTTATCTTTGAGAGATAAATTAATTGACTTGATTATCGGAGTGCCTCCGAGTGGAAAAACTGCCACTATATTTTCATATTCTTGTTAGTAGATGGTTGGCTTAATCTATTCTGCCGCGTGCTCTCCAGCTAAGTTTCCGATTTGGTTGTGTGGTCGGAAATCAACACCCACAATTTGACGTCGTTTATGGGAACTTAGTATAGAATAGATAGCCAACAACGAACGGGAAGTGAGGATCGGAGATTGACATTTACAGTGAGGAAGAGGAACACATGGGTCCTAATACTGGGAACAATAATGATAAAGTACAAGAGGTTGACCCCGAGACAAACAATGTTGCCAGGGGCTAAAATGGGAATAAGAAGGGTAGTCAAGATGAGTACTATCACGAAGGCGATCTCCAGGTATGGAAGGATAGGTGCCTGAGAAGAGATGAGGAACTGAAGGACATGGCAAACAAGTTGACACTTGCAAACAGTGGTCAACTTCATGATGCAGAACAACGTGATGCTACCAGCTTTTTCCCTATAAGACACACCTATTTTTGTCAAATTGTATGATTCCAAGGTGATTCTAAGCTACAAGACACACCTTTTTAATACTATTTTATGATTCCAACGTGATGCTACTCAGTAAATTCCCAACGTAATTGAAACATGCGAGGGAAATGGATAAAAATTTTAGTTTATATTTCATTTACATTTCCCTCACCTCACCTTTTACCTTCCCTTCTCAAATTCTTACCTAAATCCATTATCCAAACACAGCCTTAATGACATTGCATAAAATTGGCTTGAGAGATTTTCTATTTATTTCTTTGAAATGGTGGGAATAGATCCCATAATATAGCTGGTCCGAGTAGTTTGATTAGGACCATGTGAGTTTTGATTTATTTGTTTGAAAATAATTGCGAGATTGTTATCCATGTTTACACCACATATTCCAACTCTCTAAAGTTACTAAAGTTCAACCAGAATTGGAGTTTAAAATAAAATTTGCCTAGAATATCATGATGAGCCATGATGTCCTTTCCATTATGGACCACTTCTGTTTTTGTCATTGTTGAAAAGTTTATTTTTAATGATCACCTGATTGGGTAGATTAGGTGGAAAGTAGTTGAATCATGGTACGGACCATTATACAATTGTCGCGATTTGTTTAGGACAAAATTTAGATGGTCTGACCTCTATAATCCTATAATTTCATTAATGATTTATGGTAACCTAAATAGTCTTCTTGTTGATTATGTCAGCTAAACAACTTCTTGCCAAAGAAGTTAAACAAATGCCATAATGTCACACTTCATACTCTTATTATGATTATTATGCTACGACTAGCTTTTTGCAGGTTTTACTGATGCCAGGTCATTGATGAATTCGGGTCATTCGACAAATATATCTGGAGCTTTGTGAACTACAAGCCTATAATTAGCAGATTCCGTTACCCTCGCCAGATTCCCGTTAGCTGCAGTGAATCTTACCATGAAGTTGGTTGAGTTCATTTGTAACCTTCGATTGCTTTTGATGCAGTTCATGTTTACAACTGTAAGTCATATTTATGTGAAGTGTTTTTTTCCCCTTCCCTACTCTGTTGATAGATTAAGTTGTAGATAGCCAACTGGTTTGAGGTAATTGTCACTTGGTGCTAGACTGTCAAGATTACCTTGCAATTGAATATGGATAAGCCTTGATTGCCCTACAACCTCTTAAGTACCTTCCATCTTGCTACCATCCAACACAAATGCATGCGTGAGCGCGCGCGCGCACACACACACAGAGTGTATCGGTAGTCCCCTCATCTTCACTGAAAATATTTGTGACCGGCCCCATAGGAGCCACATCATCTCCCATTACAGGGTCTTCACTCTCCACATTGTAAACCCTCGGGAGTGCCTTGATATATTAAGTAATTCGTTAGGGTTATTTGCCTAGCCTAAGCAAGGGTTTATCAACCACCAAATGTGGTAGATCGGTGCACTAGTGCGCTTGATGCCTAACTGCAGCCCTAAACAAGAAGTTACTGAGTCAAAATATGGGGAGCGGCCTGAGCATCGCTGAGTGACCTAGCGATCCTCACCCTCACCCTTGCTATCGCCCATCCTAGTCGGCGTCGGAGCCAAGCCACCCTCGCCCTTAACCATGCTCACTTGGTGAGCCATGGTTCAAGACCATATAGCTTGGCGAGGACGAGCTCTTGCCTAGCCATAGCCATAGCCATAGCCACTCTTGTTCGGTAGCAAAATGGTTCTGCTCTTAGCTTCTCCATGTTTTTCGTATTGGACACCTAGCACTTCGACAAGGGTGTGAGATATGTGTTTGATACTTTTCATTTGTCACTTCTTGTATATTTGTATTTAACACTATCATTATATATGTTGTTGTATAATTGCTATAAAATGAGTAAAATGCCTTTTTGATAACATTATTTTATATCCCATAGTAGATTAAAAATATAAAAAAATGAGTGCATCCTTAAATTTGAAGTTTGAAGGGTTCGATCTCTCGATACGCACTCGAAACCAATACTCGAGTCCATATAACATACCCTACAACGTCCTAGCTAGGACTTCTATATAACACCATCTCTATTGCCATTATTTTGACATCCTAGGCTCTGGAAGCAGGGCCTAGGTATAGTTTACAACTATTGCTTTTCAATGAATAAGTTCCTTCTATAGCAACAATTTGATATTTGAAATGAGTGGAATGGTATAATGTTCTTGAGTCAAGTTTTGAAATACTTGATCGTTACAGGTTTTAGAAAGGATTTTTTTTTTTTGGATATGTAGTTAAAATTTGAATTTTATATGCAACTAATTGACTGTTTTTCTTCTTTATATTTGTAAGGTAACGTTGAAGGGTCAAATAATCAGGACTTATCTGTTAATGTTGATACATCTGCATCCTCCCACAATGTACTTCATGGAAATACTATCAGTGCCATGGATGTTGATGCAACTGTCAACATACCATTTGCATTGGTTGATGAGATAGCTGAGGCTTCTCCAGCACCTGAAGATGGCTTACAACTTGGAGATCAAATTGTGAAATTTGGGAATGTGGAATCTGGTGATGATTTGTTGCCAAAGCTTGCTTCTGAAGCTCTGTCCAATCAAGACCGTGAAATACCTGTAGTGGTTTTGAGGCAAGGTGCACTTATCAACTTAACAGTCACACCTAGAGCGTGGCAGGGCCGTGGCTTGCTGGGGTATGTTTGTCATTCCACTTTTGCAGTGCTTCCTTTTTTGTTAGATTATCCATTAAGCCTTTTATACTGTCATTTCTAGCTGCATTTTGTGTGAAAATATTAGTATTTGCTGGTTGATTCTCACAATCATCACTCATATGTTCTCTTTAACATTTTCTGTTGTGAGATATAAGATACATTTTGTCCTAGCAGATACTATTATTCCAAAATCTAGCTCCCTTATCCCTTCCAAATTTGAGATTAGGCACTTGCAAGATGAAGTAATATTTTGATGAGAATGTTATTGTGAAAAATTACTTGTTGCAGCCTTAAAGGTTGACTCTTTTAATGTTTGTTGGAATAGATGGTTTCTGCCCATGAGGAGCAAGCTCAATGGGGGATGTTCAAACAAATTGTAGGCTAAGATTCTGATAATTATTTTCTACATTATTAATCCTTAAGTTTAGTCAAAGCAACCTTATGTGGAACAGTTTGACAGAACAGAGATTTTACTGTATTTTAACTGTCAATTAACTGTCAATTTATGTGGAATTATTTCAGATGTCATTTCGAATCCTATGATCATTTACATGGTGCTTTGATGAATAGTGATGCTTCGGTTAGGCCAGCCAGAAGACAATGCCCCAGTAGATGTGTTCTGAACATTCGCTCTCCTCATTTGCAGTCCATAGGGTAAAAGGATGGTTACTGTCTTTTAAACTCCTTCATTATATTTGGATTTTGTATGTAGCATCTGTGCGAAACTTCCATTTTGCTTCATTCCTTTGTGGATTCTCAAATCCTCTTTAGTGCTTGTGGACATATCTGAAGGAGAATGTATGGATCTATTTTAATTTACTAAGCATATTTGTGTTTGAACTTTCAACTCAAAAATCTAATGGTTACCAATGACAATAAAAAGGGAAGCATTCTAGAAAGGTTGAGGGCGGTGATTCGAAATCATTTCATTTTGTAGGGCTCGCCGTGTATATGTCTATTGAAAAAAATTAAATCGATTTAATAATCGTAATCTTTTTTATTTTATTTATATTTGTTTATGAAAGAATGGTTAATCTATTTTCAAAACATAATTTGTCTATTTTTTCAGAGACTTGAGCAATAAAATAAAAACAGGTTCATAATTATTAGATTATTTGAATTTTTTTATAGACACGCATTGAGGGACCAAGTAGATCAAGAAATGAGGGACCAAGGATCCTGCTGTGGTGTGCTGGTGTGATATTTCTTGAATTTTTTTTTATTTTATTTTTATTTTGATAATCTAAACCGCGACAATGCTACGTAGCTCAAACTTTGTGGCTCAAAAGTGGCTCAAATGCCAAAACGACGTCGTTTTGAAGTCAGAACAACATAAAAAATGGCCAAAACGACGTCGTTTTGGCCATTTGAGCCACTTTTGAGCCACAAAATTTGAGGCTACAGAGACATTTCCTCTAAACCGTTTATGTTGTAAGATTTGTTGAGTAGATAATTTATGTAAAAATTAAATTGATTGAACATTTATAGCTTTGTAATAAGACACTTTGTTTTCAAAAAATAATGATTAACATAATCTTGATATTTTTTTTAAAACAATTAGAATTTGATTTAGGATTGCAGATGTGTATTAATTTGATCTTTTAATATGAATAATATACTTTTAGATGATCGAAAAGAATTTGACAAAAGTCTCTACTAGACACCCACAGCAGGATCCCCAAGCCAAAAATAAGAGGGCATGGTTTAAATCAGAAACAAAGTTGGAAATTGTTACTTTTGTATTGGTAAGATTTTAGTCCATTTGTTAGGTTTGGAAAATGTTTCCATCTTTATTAAATAAAAAATTTTTTGTTCTAAATTAGCTCATGTTGGGTTGATTGTGAATTTATTATTTTATTGCATCAAACATTAGAAATAGCGAAAGTATTTTCAGTGTTAATATTCCCTTTGCATTTTAGTGTTTAGGATCATCAACAACTCATAGTTGAACACACAGGTCACGTGTTATATTGGTCTTGTTTAGTGAAACTTCTTTCATGACTTGGGGCTTTTGGAATGCATCAAAAAAGTTAATTTTTAGTTTTTTATTTATTTTGGGTCACATTACCTCTCATCATTTTTACTCACAAAAAGACAAAATAGACTAAAAAAAAGTCAAAAAGTCAACTTTTTACCAATTTTTTCAAAATACTCCTTATTTAGATTTAGGAATCTTTAGTGTATATTTCAATTATCGGATTGACTTAAATTTTTTTTGTTAATGGCCCTGATAATCATTGGTAAATAAGTAAGATACTTAAGATGTTATTGGACTTGTTTAATGTAAGTTCAATTTTTTATTAAAATTATTGAATTATTTTACTTATAAGCAAAAATTGTATTCAAATAGTCTAGCACAGAACTTTTAAAATAATTTTTTTGAGAAATTACAACAACAAAAAAAAAAAAAACCGTGGTTTAACTCTTGTAACAAAATAAGTCCTCAATTTTAATTTTATCAATTTAAATCCTAAATTTTTTATTTTATTTTCAATCTAAACCATCTTGCCTATTTCCATTAAGTAAATTGATGAAAAAAATATATTTTAGTCATTAAACTTAATAAATCAAATGAAAAAAAAAAATTAGAATTAAGTTAACAAAATTAAAAACTCAAGATTTATTTTGTTACAAGGGTCAAACTTCAGAGTTTTCTTAAAAAAATTATTTTCTCTAATGTTTTTGTAAGTAACTCTAATAGTTACACTGAATAGCTTCAATTGTTTGATTTTGGTACTCTTGATCAACAAAAAATTATAGCACACATTAAGTGAGTTATTCTTTATTTCTTGGCTACATAATAAAAGTGAGTTATTATGTTTCACCCAAATCTTTTTTCGAGGGAATTATAAAATTAAAAAAAAAAAACTCTAAGGTTTGAACCTTTTAAAAAAAATAAATTATGAATTTTAATTTATCAATTTAAACCCTAAACTTTTGATTTATTTAAACTATTTGTCTATTTTCGTTAAATAGAATCAATAGAATACTGGATATTTTAGTTATAAAACTCAAATGAAAATGATAGTTAGACATTTTATGTATGCTTATGTTGAGCTTAATAACTAAATACTATTTTTTCATCAATTTTACTTAATCAAAATAGATAAATATATTTAAATTAAAATCTTGAGTATTATAGAAAAGATGAAATCGTAAAGGAACTACTCGCTAATTTCTTTTACTCATAAAAGGTAACTTTTAAACTTCCTCAATATAATATATATATATATATTATATCTGTTTTTCTAAATTCTAAAATAGTCAAAAAATTATGAAACAATTCTTAATTTTATTTTTAGCAAGTTTAATTTTTTTTTTCTATTTTGAGTTAATTTTTAAAATTTTTAGCTGTAGACAATTTTACAAATTAAAAAAGTAATTGTTTTCTTTTTTTGAGAAAAAGAAGTCTACTAAATGGAAAAAAGAACAGATTTTAGGCCTCTTAACTAAAAAAAGAATCACATTAAACTAGTAATGTGTACCAATATTAACCTTTTAGTTGAATTCCGTGAATAAAAAAAGATCACATTTATATAATGATTTTTTAAAGGAAATTTAATATTAGTATAAATTGATAATTTATTGTGACAAAGTGTATTATTTTTTAGATGAGAGAATTAAAGTGATACTTAATGTGTAATTTACCTACAAAAAAAAAAAAAAGTAAAAAAAATGATGTGTCCGGATATATCATAAGGTAATTTTTTTTTAAAAAGTAGGATACAAGTATAGATAAATACGTTTTTAAAAAAATATTTTATTTTTAATTTAGAATAATTTAAAAATTAGTTGACTAGTTTAGTTGGTTAAGATCCAATCTACAATTCACATTCAATGTCAAAACTAAGGCATAAATACGTTAGAATAGATGAAGTGGGATATCATTGATCACAGTTAAATGTCATTATATTAAATAATTTACAAATCAAAACTTAATTTTAAAATCATGTTAAGTATTTAAAAAAAAAATCAATGGAATTAGATTCACCTTTATATAAATAATACTATGCGATTATGTACAACTTTATGATAAAAATTAGTGGAAATTTTTTTAACAAATGTTTTATATACTCGATACATATGTAAAAATATCATACAAAATATTAATATCCAATATTATGTAGTACAAGTTGTGACATGTTTATCGAAATATTCATATTTAGTGGTTTATATATATAATCTTACAACTTATGCTTCGGTTGATTCATTAAAAGATTGAGTTGAGTGAAATAATCATTCTTGATCTTCATGAAATTAATTAATCCCTAACACAACCTTACAAGTTATGGAGTCGAACTGTAACACAATAACTTGCTTGGAAAGTTAGAAGACAATTTTCAACATCCACCTCATGAAGCATAGGGATGGCAATTTGAAACCGGCTCGATGAATCGACCCCTGAACCCCGAATTGAGCGGGTTTTTCCCGAAAAATACCCCCGACGGGATGGGGATAGTATTTAAAAATCAATCCCGAACAGATTCGGGACAGGGACGGGGATATAGTATCCAGCCTGTCCCCGGCCCGGCCCGGTCCCGGCACCAGCCCCGGCCCCGCCCCGTCCCCGTCCCGTCCCCGATCCCCGGCCCGGTTTATCCCCGATGTTAAATTACCATTTTACCCTTATATACATATATATATATATATATATAAACCAAACCAGGTCTTCAAATCTCAATCTCTCTCTATCCCATCTCCGTCTCTCATCTCTCTTACCTCACTGGCTTCTCTCTTCTCTCTCTCTCTCTCTCAGACCCACCACCACCGCCGTCAGCTCGCACCACCACCACCACCGCGTCTCTCATCCACTCCTCTCTTCTCGACGTCGCCGACCACCACCAGCCGTCTAGCTCGCAACCACACCACCACCTCCGCGTCTCTTATTCACTCACTCTCTTCTCGACGTCGCCGTCCAGCTCACCGATTAGATCTTTTTTTTTTTTTTTTCCAAGATCTGTCTCAGATCTGTTTCACAATTTTTTGTTTTGTTTTAGATCTGTTTCAGATTTGGTCTCGAATGATGAGTTTGTTGTTGTTGTTGCTGATAATGAATTGTTGTATTTTCTGAATTTTTTTTTTTTTTTAAGTCGGGGAATGTTCGGGTCGAGGAAACCCGACCCCGTTGAGGGCAGGGGTTGAAGGCAGTGATAGGTTCCCCATCAGGGATCGGGGCCGAGGCCGGGGGAAATCGACCATCGGGGATTGGGACGGGGAGTGTAATCCCGGTCCGCCCTGTGCCATTCCTAATGAAGCATATATGGGGATGTTTTCTTGGTGAGAATACCTCATTTTAAAATTAAAAGCTAAAAAAGACTATATATATTGAATGATATATGCATATCAACAATTTTATGATTAGAATAGCTCAGTGTTTAACAAAGTCGACTTTGGAACTTTTTATATATTAATTGTGAACAGTCTGGACACTCTCATATATATATTATATATATATATATATATAATAGGATAAATTATAAATACACCATTTAAAATTTACTTAAAATACGAATTACTTCTGTGGTTTGAAAATTACAATATCTCCCTGTCATAATTTTTATTTATAGAATTAATTGAAAATGTGAAATTTCTAACTGTTCACTTAAAATACAATTATCTGAATTATTAATTGAAATAAAATTTTTAACATTATTAAAAACTGTTAATTAACTTGATGATTTATAGCAAAAGGACCTATTTGTTATGAAATTAGAAACCTAGGGGAGCATAATGTAATTTCTAAAACCACATGGATAATTTGTAATTTAAATAAATCTCAAGGGGTGTGTT